ATCCTCGAGCTCACAGAGCTCTTTCGCCTCAGCTGTGAGTCCATTCGCTTCCTCGATCTCAGCCGATAAGTCGAAGCCTCGAGCATGGATCTCTTCGAGGGTCTCCCTTAGAGACAGCCGCCTCATGTATTCAGCCTTCGTCTTTAGGCGGATCTCAGCTGCCTCCACATAGACCTTGTATTGGGCCACCATTTCTTAGGCATCGTGGAGGTTATGTCCAACTTGGACTTCAGTGCCTCATATTCCCTTCCAAGGGCATCCCACTCTGCGAAGGCCGAGCTCAGTTGTGATGGAAGACCATCATTAAGTTTAGACCACTTGGCAGCTTTGTCTTTCGCCACCCAGAGTTGGTTCTCCACTAATGCTAGCTCTGCCTTTGCAGCCTCCTTTTTCGAGGCTAGTCAGTCCATCATGCCCTTCCACACTTTGGTGTGGGCCTTGACCTCGTCCATCTCGACCCACAACTGGTCGATCAGATCCATCATCTTCTATTGAATCTGCGAAGTCGTGTTGTTAGTCATCACAACAAGCTGCTCATTCCTATCTTCAAAGACTCTTACTTTTTTGACCAGGTTGGCATGATCACGTTTCAGGGTCGAGGCTTCCTTTCGAGTTTTTTCCAGCTCGGCCTGGAGAATCAGGAGGTCCTTAAGGGCCTCATCTTGTTGCTCGCTCGGAAGCCTATACATATCCGTATTGCGAACCTGCTCTTTGAGTTCAAACTCGAGCTGGCTGGTTTCCAAGCGATATCGGAGGAAGCTCTCGCGGTGAAGCATTGAAGCCTCTAAAGAAAGTGAATTAAGTAAAAAACATCAAAGGAAAACTTTAAGTGATTCATAAGAGGATTTTGAAGGTATTAGAACCTTACCCGGTTCAATACTTGTTGTGCCTCGTTGAAGAGACTCAACATGCACACCTCATTCATCTTTATCTAGTCCTCCTCGGTTACCAGACATAGGAGGTAGCGGGCTATGCCTATCGGAGCAGATAGGACTCGGGCATCCTTCGAGACTGTGAGAACAACTGTCCTCTTACGCTCGGGGTCCGCGCTTGGCGCAGGGAACTGCTTCACCAATCTTGGGCTCCTGCTCAGCCCGTCAGCTCTCGAAGGCACATCCTACTTCGGTATCTCCAGGTGGCCCAGCCCAGATAAATCTACCAATATAGACATATCCATGTTATCAAACAAGGAGTAAAGAGAGTTTTCTGCACCTTGTGCTTCTTCACTTGATTTTTCTTTGCCCGTTTGGGACTCTTTGAGTATAGACTCGGTGTAGGAGGGCATCTCGATGATATCAATCACGTCAGTCGGCTCCTTCAAGACATGAGCAGTTTCTTGAGAGGTCGCATGACGTAGGGGTCAATCCATGGGTGACAAAGATATCATCTTCTTCGGACTCATCCCTGAACCGATAAAGGAAGTCAGGGTCCGATACCCTAGACTTGGTATTCTTCTTGGGTTTGCGGGTCAGGGTGGCCGCCCTCTTTTTTATTTTGACCTCGAGGTCCGGGGAGCCCAAGGACTTTCTCTTTTTCTTCTTGTCCTCCTTTGCGGCAGCCCTGGGCTGTCCTGTAATGGAGAGATCAATGGATAAATGCACTTCTTCATACCCTTCGAGTGGCCTAAGTTCGATGGTCTTATCAAAATCTGCGAAGGAAGAAGAAAAGGTTAATATTGTGTAATTATGGGGCATAGTAATGACTATTCATAAGAGAACCTTACCATGAGAACGGGCCTCCCATCTTCCCTTCGAAAGTTTGTGCTATGCACGCTCGAAGGATGACATCTGCTTGCAGATGCCTTTGATCCACTGCTTAAGTCGGGGGAACTGCATTGGGAACTCGGGCAACAACTACACCACTACAACTATCGACGATGAGAAAGGGAATGAAGGAAACTTGACACTTAAGGAAAGGCTACACTTACGAGATGCATTCCACTTATCGAGAAACGGTAGGAATTTGGGAGGGATCAAAACTTCAGTTTTTACCCGAACAAAACACCCCTACCAGCCTCGGTCTCGATCTTCATCAATGCTCGAAAAGGGAGCCTTGCTGGCCCGGCGAGTGAGCTTGATTATTCCCCCTCGGAAAATTTGGGGACTGTACAGACGGAGCAGATGGTCTAGGGTGAACCAAGGAGATTCGGTGTTGTTCACAAAATAACATAAAAGGATCACGATCCTCCAAAGAGACATATGGATTTGCCTAAGGCACACCTCGTATCTCTTGCAAAAGGCCAAAACTACTAGGTCTGTCGGGCCCAACATGAAGGGGTAAGTGTAAACACTTAAATGCCTCTCCACGTAAGTAGTAATATCGTCCTCAGGCCCGGGGACAACCACGCCTTTGCCTTCCTATTTACAGTCCTCTCGGACTATGGGAAGAGTGTCTTCAGTAATGGAGCATATGTATCTTCATGCTCTTTTACCCTAGTCCTATTTGGATGAAGCCTTCTCGACTTTGAAGTCATTTGCGATTGAACAACCCCCAGGTATAAAGCTTTTCATGGGGCCTTGGGAGAAGCTACCTCGGGGGAAGCCACCTCAGCAGTAGTTGCCTCAAGGGAAGCCACCTCAGGAGTATCTACCTTGGGGGAAGCCACCTCGGGAGTAGCTACCTCGGCATCTATGGTCGGGTGAGAAGATAAAGGGGCAGCCTGCTGTGGAACCGATTTGAAAGTTTTAGCCATCGCAAACTAAGAAATATATGGAGATTTGAAAAAGGCGTATGAAGATTTGAAGGTTAGAAGTGAGAAGATTAAGTTCTGGGCTGAAAATCCAAGAAAATATATGAAGGCTTGGAGGTTTAAGTTTGAGATGTGAAGAATCAAGAAGAAAGGTATGAAGATCTGAGAAAGTTGAACGCCTTTGTGAAGTTTGAAGATCAGAGCTAAGATCAAAAATTGAAAGAAGTGAAGAGAGGCGAAGCTTTTATAGGGAAAAATACGGGACGTTTCGCATTCTAAGGCAACTAGCTAATGATCGACACGTTCCGAAGTCAGAACGACGCGACTGATGGGATATTTCGCTTACCCGTCATCTCTGTTGTAACATGGGAATGAAGGAACCGGGGTTCACCTATCGTTTCCCATCATTTCAATAAACCTACTCTCTGGAAAATAAAGGGACCATCTATATACGGGTAAAATCAGGACTACTGAACACCTCGATTTCCCGGTGGGTCGAACGAAGCAAGGACATGACTACATGGGATCGGAATCGAATGGGAACTTCTCGTACTAAGGTCCGAACGGAGTGCTCGCCACCAGGCTTGATAAGACAAAACTTCCCCAAAACCAAAACAAGTTTCGAGACCTCAGAATACACAACAATGGTGGACACAACTAACATAGGGATGTGATATCCGTACCCCACTAGATTTCACAGCGTAGATCTCGCCTGACATCGGCAGCGGATTAGTAATTGATGAGAAATGAGGATTTTTACCTTTTTTAGAATTGTACCAGGAATGAAACTCTCCTACTATATAAAAGGAAATTTTTTCTTTGATAGGACACATTGTAACACACATACTAAGGCAATACAAACTTATTTCTCGGCCTCTAGCTACTACAAAGTTTTTACTTTATTTTTGTTCTTTGTTCTTTGTTCTTGACTAGCTTCACCCAACCAAGGGCAAAAATTATTGCGCAGCCCAAGTTCAAGCTAGGCCATAACGTTGCGACTTGTTTGGTTATTCACTGTGTCTTTAACTCATTTACCTAACATTCTTGATTATTTGTGTTGAATCAATCCACATATTTTTAAAACCGCATACAAATCAATTATTATCCATTTTAAGGGTAAACCATAGAATCGAACAAGATATAATCAACACAAGAGAATACATAGCATCGTTTTAAAAGTTTCATGAATATGCAATTGAAAACCTATTAACTTCTTCTTGGCCTTATCAAACTTACGACCAAATACATAAACATGCACTCAAACTCGACCTCAGCTGGCAAGTAAGCATTCCAATTTTGGGAGTCCACATACAGACATTTCAACTTGTATAAACTTGAACTAATAAACACAAATTTCTGACCGGTCTAATGGGTGAGTTAAACAAGCTACTACGTGGATTAGTGACCTAATCAGAGGCTGCCAATTATTTTACACGTGGAATTGAGATATAAAAACCTAAAAATAAATTAAGGCCGAATTAAAGGGTGCAAAGTTGGTGAATGTATTCATCTAAGGGAGAAATTTTAATTTGATTCACACAACAAACAACAAGCACTGCTTGTATGAGACCTCTTCCCTCCTTATTAAAACCAGAACCCAAAAATTTTGTGGAATAAATGTTTCATAACAGTTTTCTGATTAACAACTAAATATGGATGATATATTCATAATTTATTATCAATTTACATGCATTACTTATAAGATAAAACAAAGTGTTTTAAAATTATACCGCCATTTGATCGCTCTCATTTATTCATGAAACAAAGATCCATTTTGCAAGTTGCATTTTCTATCACTTGTGAGCACTTAATTTTTGACAATATTTAAATTTTTCATCACTTTTTAGTATGTGGATATATTTTAAGTTTAATCTTCCTAGTTTGGCACTTATTTCACCTTTTTATAGAATTTTAATTGAGAAAATTGAAAACCACAAAAAAGAATCACATTTTTGGTACTAGTTTTAGTTTGCATTTACAAAAAAAGAAAGAATATTACAAAAATATATCTTCTTTTAATCTAGTATTTTAATAAATAAGTTAATTACATTTAATTATTTTAGTCTAAAAATAGTTAGTGATTTTTTCCTTTTGACTTTAACTCTAAAAGAAAAAGAAACTAACCAATTAAATGATGCCATTGAGAAAAGATTCCACTCTATCCGATTTTGGAACAATCCTTTGCTAGATATTCCTAATTGCACAGGCACACACACTCACAATATTCCTTTCTTGCCCCTAAACAATTTCACACGTCATTTTTTGTTCTCTTCTATTTGATTCTCTTATCTAGTGGAGTATAACTTTTTCCTTGCTCCCCAATTAATCCCAACACATGATTTGATGCCACACCCACTACATAAAGAGAGCACGCGAAAAGGAGGTGGGAAAAAGCAGAGATATCTGAAAAACGAGAGATTACAGAGAACCTAGCAGCAGCCGCTTCTCTTCTTCCCAATCCACCTGAAGAGGTATGTATATTTTGTTGAAGATTTTGTTTTTCCCTTTTGAATTGGTGTTTTCAGGTAAATTTTTGTTTTTAATCTGTCAAAGGGAAGGGATTATTGACTGTAAATTTTGATCTTTTTCATATATTTGGCCATATTATCTGGTATTCAACCTGCTCTTGCATAATTACCATGTTTTAGCAGGATTTTCAGCAGTGTTCCTCTTCCTCGAGGACGACGACGTTTCTATCCTCCATTTTCAAATTAATGACATTGTTGGTTTTAGCTTGCCTCCAAATTAAAGCAAAAAAATATGGTGAAAAACAGTGCTGAGCTAGAATTTCAACTTTATGGTTTTTGATTTTTGAATGATGACTTCAAGTGCTAATAATTGGATTCTAAATTTAATATTTATAAATATTTTAATGAATTTCTTAACACAAATACATTGTTTGAGCAAAAGTTAGTAGGATCATACCCCGGCTTCTAGCTACGCCCAATGTTGTAACTTTATCGATGAAAGTGGAAACATTATCAAAAGAAAAATGAAGTTTACTTACAGGAAGAGAGAACACTAATTGTAGGCTGGCATTCATAGGTTAAGAAAAGGATACAGCCAATGTTCCATAAAAACTTACTACAGCAAGCAACGTTTACACAAAACCAATGAATGTAAGACATATTATTGCTATACTAGAATCTTTAATAGGCGCAAAACCATTATTACAAAGACATGGAATTATTTTTAAAAATTCTATTGTATAATTGTTCTTTATTTGAGATTATTATTTAAAATTTATATTTTTGTTTTTTATATATTTATTATGAGAAAAGTGGAGTACAAGTTACATATTATTATGAGAAGTAGAAAGTGCTAATTCCCGTTGAGTCTTGTTTATTTTGTATTTTTTTTTTTTAAAATTTAATTCCGTTTTTAAGATCAACTACATTATGCCTCTGACATGTATTTACCATTGATAAGTTATTACAGAAAAATAATTGAAAAACGGATGCATATGCCTCAAAATCTCTTTATTTATTTCTTATTTTGTTTATAAAAATTTATTGTCTCAAGAGCTGATAAGTAAGTACAATTATTTACTCTACAGAATGCAGCAATAACCAGTAAATCAAAGAAGTAATTGCATTGGCCATCTGCACACATCAACACTACCATGGAGACAACTACAATTGAAGTATTGCATGATTGCCTCATTCGCAAAATAGTATCCTACCTTACTTTTAAAGAAGCAGCTAAGATGAGCATTCTCTCCAAAACATGGCTACAAGCCTGGTTGACTCATCCCAACTTGGAATTCACAGTTGATTATCGCCACGACATGAAAATGGTGGATAAAGTCATGGAGAGATATAGGGACAGAAAAATCCCTATTGACAAGTTTGAATTATCATCAGATTCTAGTTCTCTTGAAGATATTGAGAAGTGGCTCGGAATAGCTCTTCAGAATGGTGTTAAAGATTGTAGATTTCATGGCTTAGCATGCCCCTTGCCTATTTTCATAATCTTGGCAGCAAAATCTTTAAAAGAATTGGTTCTGACACGTTGCAACCTACGGAGTGTTTGTTTATCTAGTGGTGTGGCGAACCTTTATTTGGAGAAGCTATCTTTATCATCTATCTTTTTGACTGAAGGCATGCTTCAAACTCTACTCACTAATTGTCCCTTGATTGTCAGTTTCGTCATTGATAGTTGTTATGGGTTGGATAAGATCGAGCTGCGGAATCTTCAAAAGATCAGGTCAGTTTCCATAACAAAAAGCAGTCGAAAACGTGTTAAAATCCAAGCACCAACTCTTGAACACTTTTCTTATTATCAGTTGTCTGTGGAAAAATTGGATATTGTTGAATGTAAGAATTTGAAATCTTTAGAACTATCATATGTGACTCTATCTGGTGGTTTTCTCGAGCACCTTATCTCTGGATTCCAATTCCTTGAGTATTTGGTAATAGTGTGCCTTGGTAAAGGGTCGGAAAGGTTTAACATTTTGAGTCGATCTCTAAGGGTATTGAAGATTGAGGATTGTGAGGGTGTAGGAGAAATTGATACTCCAAATTTGGAATCAGTTGAGTATATTGGAGATCAAATTCCAAGGCTCAAAATTACGAAAACGTCAAGCCAATTGAAGCACTCACAGATTGTTCTTCACTGTCAGAACAATTTAAATGTTGTGTGGTTTTATGAGTTGAGAAGGTTCCTGTCAAACTTGACCTCTTGGTCTCAAGTTTCCCTTCATTTTTCCAAATGCCATGAGATAAATAGGAAAGAATTGAAACCGCACGATAGAGTTGCTCTCCCCCAAGTGAACGTTTTAGATGTAGATATAAAATCATCCGGGAATTGCCCAACTTTTATAGATGCTTTGCTATGGAGTTGTCATCCCAAGAGACTCAACCTATCATCAACGGTCAAAATGATTATATGTTTCATCGATCGTTTAACGTATTCGAAGAATTCAAGTCATTCTAATTCTCATGAAAGCAAGCCTATGCGTAGTCAATTAAAAGAAGTAAAAGCCTACAAATTTGACTGGAAAAATCAACCTGTGGAACTCAAAAGTGGGGAGCTAGCGATAAGGAGCCTTACGGAGAGTGAGAAAGTTTATTTTTTATTAGATTGGTGATGCAGTTAATTTGTCTCTATTTCAAAGTGAATGCACTTATTCATTTCTAAAGTTTATTAATCTATTTTTCAGGATATTTTTCTTTTACATCTAGCTTTACATTCTTGCACTTTCCTAATTATCTAGCCGGACTATCTGGTTCTGGCCCATAGTTAAGTAGTCTGTTAAGTTCTGGCCCATAAAACCTTTTGTTTCTGACTTTCTGTAGCAGCTTGACGAAAACAACATAGTACTAAACAAAATAGTAAAAATATCGTTTTTCTTATTCTGTTTTGGTGAAAAGAAAAAATACATTAAATAGGAAGAAACAAGTACAAAAGAAAATGGTAAAAATGTTAAGGAAAAAAGAAGATAATACTTTGTTTTCTAAATACCAAATTTGATAAGTTAATAAGACATTTATTTCGAACCGGATGGAGTGATTTTTAAATTCTGAAAGGAGGATCAAAATAGCACGGTATAGCCAGTTTTCGGACTGGTCATTCAAAAATAGTCAGCATTTACGAAGTCAATGAAAAATAGCCACTATTTTGCTGCAACAGAGACCGGTCCAACATAATATACTGGAGTTCAGTGCACCTGTGTATTAACTCCAGCATAATATACTGGAGATTGGAGCATCGGTGCTCCAAACTCCAGCATATTATACTGGACAATTATACTTGCTAGAACTCCAGTATATTATGCTGGAATTCTAGTGTAGTTTTGCTGGAACTCCATCATATTATGCTGGAGTTCCAGCATACTTATCCTGGAACTCCAGTATAATATGCTGGAGTTCAAGCATATTTATGCTGGAACTCCAGTATAATATACTGGCGTATTTTTCAAGTTCTGAACAGTGTTTTCGCTCAGATTTATCTTTACACGAAAAGTAGCTAAATTTTGATTACTTTTGAAACTGGGCTATTTTTGAACTACCAGTTGTAAATCTGGCTATTTTTGAATTTCTCCCCAAAATATGTGTTGGGATTCAAGTACTAAAGTTAACACATTAAATTTTCATTTCAATTTTTTTTTGGAATATATTTATATATTTAGAAGATGGATGGAAACTACAAGACTAACGTTATTTATTAACTTCTCAAATAGTAATAGTTAAACAAACTGATCGATTTCTAAAATTATTAAAACTTTTTATTGATCGCGACTAATTCACTAGTTACTATTTAAATCCAAGTCCAAGGTTTTTTGGGATTATCAAAAACCTTTAAATTATAGCACCTAACTTGGCTTAATTAAATCAAAAGGTTTTATGGGAGGTAGAATTCTGCCTAAAAAAAGGGTTTCCATTACTTTTCCTTGTAGTTGTAGGAGTGTGACTTTGTTATATAAAGAACGCAATTTATATTCTCTGAGTGAATTTGTAGCCACAACCATGGCAAGAGTAACATTGCCTGAATGTCTGATTCACAAAACAGTCTCTTACCCTAGTTTTAAAGAAGCAGTAAAGATGAGTATTCTCTCCAAAACACGGCTACAAGCTTGGTTGACTCTTCCCAACTTAAAATTCAAATTTCGTTACCAGAAGAACGCGAAAATAATGGACACAATATTGGAGAGATACAGGACAACAACATCCCTATTGAAATGTTTGAATTTTCAAATTGTTTAGAATTTTATTCTCATGAAGTTTTTTTTCCCTCGGATTGATAAGTGGCTTGATATCACTCTTCAAAATGGTATAAAAGATATAACATATAGTGTATGGAGACCCTACACGCTTGACTCGTCATACCCTTTACATGTATTCAAAATCTTGGCACCAAAATCTTTAAGAGAATTGGTTCTACAGGGTTGCGATTGCAGGGTTCATTATCTAGTGGTGTGACGACCTGCATTTCTTTGAAAAAACTCTCTCTATTATATGTAAGGTTGGATGACAACATGCTTCAGACTCTACTTAATAGTTTTGTCCGGGGTTGGAAAAGATTGAGTCGTTGAATCTTCAAAAAGTCAAGTCAGTTTCCATTAGGACACGTGAAAACCAACGTGTTAAAATTCAAGCACCAACTCTTGAACGCTTGTTTTGTTGTGGTTCTTTCGAAGAGTCTCCTATGTTGGATGTTGTCGAATGTCAAAATCTGAAATCTTTAGAGCCATCAGGTATGAATATATCTGATGGATTTCTCCAGCACCTTGTTTCTAGATCTCAATCCCTTGAGAGTTTAATATTAGACAATGTCTGTAACGGGTTGGAAAGATTTAAGATTTGCGATAGTCAATCCCTAAGGTTCTTGAAGATTAAGGATTGCGAGGACATAGGTGGAGAGATTGATGCTTCAAATTTGGTATTACTTGAGGATACGGGCGATCAAATTCCTAAGCTTAAAATTGCAAAAGAGTCGAGCCAATTGAAGCACTCACATATCCGTATTGATTTCTAGTCCGGGAACAATTTAAATGCTTCATTGTTCCGTAAATTGAGGATATTCCTATTAAGCTCAATGTCTTGGTCAAGTTTCCCTTAATTTTCACAAGTGCAATAAGATCAAAATGAAAGATTTGCTACTTCACCACAGAGTTGCTACCCTCCCAAGTAAACGTTTTAAATGTGTATATAAAGTCACGTAGAGGGCTCCCAACTTTTGTGGATGCTTTGTTATGGAGTTGTCATCCTAGGAAACTCATCCTAACCTCAACTGTTGAAATGGTTACATGTCACCAATCGTTTAATGTATATGAAGAATAGCAAGCCCTTGCATAGCCAATTACAAGACATAAACGCCTATAAATTTGATTGTAAATATGAGCTTCTTACGGAGAAGGAGACAGTTTATTTTTTATTAGATTGATGATGCAGTTAATTTATTGAATATGGCACAAAGATGCTATGTTTGATGTTCTGTTTTTTCCTCCGATTCATATGAATTTGCTGTACATTTTGTGACTTATAGATGTTGTCCACCATCTTTGAATAAAGTAATAAGTCTAACTTCTTCTAGTTAGATTAGGCAAGGCAATATCTTCATTCACTATCAATTTGTTAGAGTATCTAACTGTATAGTAAATTAGTGCTCCTAAATATATATTCTAAAATTGTCTCTGTTATCACCCGAATAACTCTTTATGAAGATCCTAGACATAAACAAAAGTTTCAATGAAATTCTAGTCGAGTGCCTTGCGGCGCCTTTAACGATGAGAGAAGGCGATACCGAAGAGAATAACTCAAGGGCACTAGCTGGCGAGCGATCCCAGTTCGTGACAGAGAACTAAGGAAGAAACTTAAAAACATTAGTTTCACAGCCGAGGTCAGAGCTTCAAGTCAGTAATGTCTCTTTAGCGCCCCATACCCTACTACGACTTTAAAGCACGACGAATTGATCTCTTTCTCCTACGTTCACCAACATACATTAATGACAAAATACATAAAGAGACACCTAAAGTTGGCCCCAGATATCTCTCTCACACTCCAACTTACCAGGTGACCATATAGACACTTTATGTTGGTTTTTAGTATGTCTCGTAAATACTCCAAGGTGATATTGTAAAATGAGTGTGTCTCAATCATATTTGAGCGCGTGAAAATGCATAAAATTATATTTTTACTTTAATTTTTTAATGTGGACCCCACCTTCTTCATCCCTAATCAAGCCATAGCCACCATCACCATGTTTGATCTTCTCCATTTGTCTTCCACCATATGAGCTTTACCAAGCTTCACTCTAACACCCAAAACAGCCAAGTACATAAGCCCTTTAAGTCAAAAAACGAGCCGCCCCATCACCACCAAACAACTTGCTCACAGAAGTGTTAGTCTAAAATGCACATGCAAGTATACGTGGTCGACAAGTAATATAGGATTGTAAGTCCAGATATTGTACCCACAGGGGCTTGTGATTAACTATCAACTAAATTAAACTAAGACAATTAATCTATTCAAGCGATTTTCTAAAGTATGAATATTTAACTAAAACTAATCTAGAATAGTAAACTATGAAATTAAAGGAAACAAGTCTGCAATCTTAGAGATGAATTCAATGAGAGAAAATATTTCAGAGCTATGGGTTAGCTAACAACCCCGTTGAGTTTTCCACTTAAATCGTCTAACTAATTTATCTGGTTTATTGGTTAATAGGGTTAACATTGCTCGTAGCCTTCTCCCGAAGTACAACTCGCCTATTAAAGCTAACCTAACGCCTATATTTCTATGAAATTAGGATTAACAAAAACACATTAATAATTCATGTATAATAACCAAGCAAGGCGGTCAGGTATATCCCTATTCTAACAGCAAATCTGTTCCCGATGCTCGCATTCAAGATCTTGGTTTATTCAATCTTATTTGCAATCTAAAATTCTCTCTCCCAAGTTCAATCCCAAATTTGTAGATAGTATTTAACTGGTAATCAAGCAATTAAATAATTAAGCGCAAGATTGAATAAATAAACCAATATGATAAAATAATAAGAACAATTCAAGCTTCAAACTACGATGTTCATGTAGCACCCACAACTCTAGAACTAATAAACTATGAATCTAAGAGAAGAAAAGAGAAGACAAACTAGTTAGAAGCCTCCTCCAACTGTGGTTTGTGTTCTCCCTAGGTCAAAGGCGGAAGAATTAGCAGCTCACGGGTATTCAGACTTCCCCCCAAGTATGGTCCTTTGTGTGGGCACCCCACACATAGCTCCAATCACCTGCTCGATTTTGCACATGCCTATTGTCTTTGACTCCATGCTTCTACTCCTACAAAACACAAAAATAACACTACAAAGATAACACAATTAAAAAAAATAAACAAAAGTAAAAAAGAAACAATAGAATTGGGTTGCCTCCCAATAAGCACATTATTTATAGTCATGGCACGATGCTATCACTTTCACCACTTTTTTCTCCACTTTGAGGATATGAATTGCGCTCCCAATTTCGTATCAACTTTTCTGCCACGTTCTTGGGGTGGGGTTATGAAAATAGAGGAACCAAGTAATAGATATCGCATCTTGCACTTCTTGACTCTTAAGTGATGTATGCCGCTTTGCCTTTTTGGTATGGTAAATTTAATAATGTAAGGGTCTTGCTCTTCATCTATATATCTCTCCAAAAGCTTTATTTCTATGTCTCCATCCAAATATAATGTAGAAAAA